TGACCACTAGCCAGATTGATTAAAAAGAAAAGAGAGAACAACCAAATAGATGCAATAAAAAATGATAAATGGGAAATCACCACAGATTCCACAGAAATTCAAACCATCATCAGAGAATATTACAAACAACTCTATGTGCATAATCTAGTAAACCTGGAAGAAATGGATAAATTCCTGGACTCCTGTGTCCTCCCAAGCCTAAACCAGGAGGAAGCTGAAACTATGAATAGACCAATAACAAGGTCAGAAGTCGAGGCAGCAGTTAAGAGCCTACCACACAAAAAAAGCCCAGGTCCAGACGGGTTCACCGCCGAATTCTACCAGACACACAAGGAGGAGCTGGTACCATTCCTTCTAAAACTATTTCAAACAATCCAAAAAGAGGGAATCCTTCCCAAATCATTTTACGAGACCAACATCATTCTGATACCAAAACCCGGCAGAGACCCAACTAGAAAAGAAAACTTCAGGCCAATATCCATGATGAACATAGATGCAAAAATCTTCAATAAAATATTGGCAAGCCGATTGCAACAGCAAATCAAAAAACTTATTCTTCATGATCAAGTAGGATTCATCCCGGGGATGCAAGGCTGGTTCAACATACCAAGTCTATCAACGTAATTCACCACATAAACAGAACCAAAAACAAAAACCACATGATTATCTCAATTGACGCAGAGAAGGCATTTGACAAAATTCAACAGCCCTTTATGCTAAAAACCCTCAATAAACTCGGTATCGATGGAACGTATCTCAAAGTAATAAAAGCTATTTATGACAAACCAACAGCCAATATCATACTGAATGGGCAAAAACTGGAAGCATTCCCTTTGAAATCCGGCACTAGACAAGGATGCCCTCTTTCACCACTCCTATTCAATATAGTACTGGAAGTTCTAGCCAGAGCAATCAGGCAAGAAAAAGAAATAAAGGGTATTCAATAAGAAAGGTGGAAGCCAAATTGTCTCTATTTGCAGATGACATGATAGTATACCTAGAAGACCCCATTGCCTCAGAACAAAAACTCCTGAAACTGATAAGCAACTTCAGCAAAGTCTCAGGATATAAAATCAATGTGCAAAAATCACAAGCATTCGTCTACACCAATAACAGACTTAAAGAAAGCCAAATCAAGAACAAACTGCCATTTGCAATTGCTACAAAAAGAATAAAATACCTTGGAATAAAACTCACAAGGAACGTAAGGGACCTCTTCAAGGAGAACTACAAACCACTGCTCAACGAAATCAGAGAGGAAACAAACAGATGGAGAAACATTCCATGTTCATGGTTAGGAAGAATTAATATCGTGAAAATGGCTATACTGCCCGAAGTAATTTACAGAATCAATGCTATCCCCATCAAGCTGCCATTGACTTTCTTCACAGAACTGGAAAAAACCACCATGAACTTCATATGGAACCAAAAGAGAGCCCGCATAGCCAAGTCAATTCTAAGCAAAAAGAACACAGCGGGGGCATCACACTACTGGATTTCAAACTATACTACAAGGCTACAGTAATCAAAACAGCATGGTACTGGTACCAAAACAGAGATATAGACCAATGGAACAAAACAGAGGCACTGGAGGCAACACAACATATATACAACTATACAATCTTTGATAAACCTGACAAAAAAAAGCAATGGGGAAAGGATTCCCTGTTTAACAAATGGTGTTGGGAAAACTGGCTAGCCATGTGCAGAAAGCAGAAACTGGACCCCTTCCTGACACCTTACACTAAAAGTAACTCCAGATGGATTAAAGACTTAAACATAAGACCTGGCACGATAAAAACCCTAGAAGGAAATCTAGGCAAAACTATCCAGGACATAGGAGTAGGCAAGGACTTCATGAACAAAACACCAAAAGCATTGGCAACAAAAGCCAAAATAGAGAAATGGGACCTAATCAAACTCCACAGCTTCTGCACGGCAAAAGAAACAGTCACTAGAGTGGATTGGCAACCAACAGAATGGGAAAAAATTTTTGCAGTTTACCCATCTGACAAAGGGCTGATATGATATCCAGAATTTACAAAGAACTCAAACAGATTTACAGGAAAAAAACAAACAAGCCCATTCTAAAGTGGGCAAAGGATATGAACAGATACTTTACGAAAGAAGACATATATGAGGCCAACAATCATATGAAAAAATGCTCATCGTCACTGGTCATCAGAGAGATGCAAATCAAAACCATATTGAGATACCATCTCACGCCAGTTAGAATGGCGATCATTAAAAAATCTGGAGACAACAGATGTTGGAGAGGATGTGGAGAAAAAGGAACACTTTTACACTGTTGGTGGGAGTGTAAATTAGTTCAACCATTGTGGAAGACAGTGTGGCGATTCCTCAAGGCCTTAGAAATAGAAATTCCATTTGACCCAGCAATCCCATTACTGGGTATATATCCAAAAGACTATAAATCGTTCTACTATAAGGACACATGTACACGAATGTTCATTGCAGCACTGTTTACAATAGCAAAGACCTGGAATCAACCCAAATGCCCATTGATAATAGATTGGAAAAATGTGGCACATATACACCATGGAATATTATGCAGCAATCAGAAATGATGAGTTTGTGTCGTTTGTAGGGACATGGATGAATCTGGAGAACATCATCCTCAGCAAACTGACACAAGGACAGAAAATGAAACACCGCATATTCTCACTCATAGGTGGGTGATGAAAAATGAGAACACATGGACACAGAAAGGGGAGTACTAAACACTGGGGTCTACTGGGGGGAAAAGGGGAGGGCCAGTGGGAGGGGGAGGTGGGGAGGGATAGCCTGGGGAGAAATGCCAAATGTGGGTGAAGGGGAGAAGAAAAGCAAAGCACACTGCCATGTGTGTACCTACGCAACTGTCTTGCATGCTCTGCTCATGTACCGTAAAACCTAAAATCCAATTAAAAAAAAAAAAATTCCCTTTCCTTATAACACGACTACTTCTTAATTATTTTCTATTGTTATTGATCATATTCTCCTTTTGAAGCTCTACTATAGTGTTCTTGAGAGTTTTGTCTTTAGCCCTCTTCTCAATTTTATATGCTCTCTTTGGACAAGGTGACAGAATCTCCTGATGTGCTTTGGCCAGTCCTGGATTAGCCTGCTATCCTAGTATAATTATTAATCACAGTCCCTTCTCTTTTCAAAAGAGTTCTTGCTTAGGTGATAAATCACAAGGTCACCTTAGCTTTAAGTGATCTCATCTTTCTAAAATACTGACTATCATTTTCATAGAGCTCATTGCCCAATTTGTATCTAAAGCAGTCTTTCTCCTTTGGTCTAGATAAACAAATTCAATGCCTACTGGATATCTCTACCTAAATGTTCCTCATGCATCTGTAAGTTAACATGTCCAATGCTAAACACAGGTTTAGGTCATGTTAGGCCATCATGCTCAATACTAAAATAGATTCCTTCTTCAACTTGTTCTTCCTGTATATCCCACTAAAACAGCACTACTGTCTCCTATTTCCCAGTCAAGTAAACTTGGCATCATTTTTGAATAAACTTATACATTTTCACTTCTCACATTCAACTGGTTCTTCAAACTGCCATCCTGACACGAATCTTCAGAGTTCAAGCGTTTGTCATTTGTCTGTCATGTGATCACTAAAAGCTTCTTACCTGGTCTTAGTACTAAGCTTTTCTAACTAATCTCTATGCCAGCCAGAATCATCTTTCTCAAACACAATTCAGGCCATATAATATCTATACTTAATAGTCTTTAATGGCTTCCCTAGTTTTTAGGATGAAGTTCAAAATTCTTATACTGGCATTAAAGTTCTTTGCGATTTAGCTCCTGCTTGCTGTATTAACTACCTGTAGGTTACAGAAGTGGGCCATGTCCTCTTTTGCCATAAGCTCTTTGTACATGCCATTCTCTTGTGCATTAATATCTACAAGTCACAAGAGTTGGAAATACAAACGTTTACAAGGTCCCTTCAAAGAACTTGTAGTCTAGGGAGAAAAGATAAAAGTAAACCAAGGGTATAATAAAATTTGTTAAGTGTTAGAATTTAGGGAAAGAGAAGGTAGAAAAAGAAATTACTTTCATTGGGATGGGTCAAGCATCAGAAGAGAACTAATTAATAAATAAGGGAGAAAATACAGTATTTTGCCCACAAAATATAAATAATCCAGTTACAACACTAGGTAATAAAATCAGGCAGACAATTTGACAGTAAGACTTACCACAGGACTTTTGCACAGAATAAACAATATGTGATATTTCAAAGTATTAAAAATTAGAGAACATTATTGAACTAAATATTTTTAGTCTAACTAAATTTCCATTTCCTTTTAAGTTCTTAAAATGCCTAAAACTACAGGTATCTAAATGTACTATTGTCACATTATAATTTAAAATGTAAAGTATATTACAATTTAAAATGTAAAGGCCCGGTGGCTCACGCCTGTAATCCCAGCACTTTGGGAGGCCGAGGCGGGTGGATCACAAGGTCAAGAGATGGAGACCATCCTGGTCAACATGGTGAAACCCTGTCTCTACTAAAAATACAAAAAATTAGCTGGGCATGGTGGCACGTGCCTGTAATCCCAGCTACTCAGGAGGCTGAGGCAGGAGAACTGCCTGAACCCAGGAGGCGGAGGTTGTGGTGAGCTGAGATTGCGCCATTGCACTCCAGCCTGGGTAACAGGAGCGAAACTCCATCTCAAAAAAAAAAAAAAAATTATGTTCATCTTCATAAGCTAATATTCATCCCAATATTATAAAAATAAACCTCTCACTTTTCTTTGATGAGAAAAAAGCCTTTTGAAAATTTTTTATATGATATACATTACTCTTTCAAGATTGTAAAAAGTTACACTAATTTCCAAAGTATTCAGCTTATAAAATCTCTTACACAAATAAGCATTATTGATTGGGCTTGAGAATTCAACACTTAATTTTTATAATAAGTACTCAACACTAATTTTTTATAAAAGCAACAAATGCAAAGAAAATAACCATGATTTACCTGCATAGGTTTGGTAAGCGGATCCATTCTAACTAAGTAAACTTCCAAGGTACGTTCTTTTTTCATGGGCAATGGAAGGGTCAAGTAACAAAAAGGATCAAATGTTACTGAAATCTTAGCACACTCAGGACAAACTAAAGTTGATTTGAAAAGGCCATGAAATATATCTACTATGATAGAATCATTTCGTTTTAAATGGTTTTCCCAGGCTTCTTCAGCAACCACCTACGAGGATAATAGACACAAATTAGAAAGAGGTATCACAAAATTATAGCAATGGTGACAATAAGATCATGAAATTTACCTTATCTGGCCTTCCATCTGCATCTTTTAATTGTATATATGGTTTTTTCCTAATTCTATTCAAATCCTCATGTAATCCATCTAATAGGAAAGCTAATAGTTCTTGACAGTCTTGCTGCTGATATCCAGAGAACTGAGGTGCAAAACGTCCTACCTGTGTCTGTAAGAAATGCAAAACCATAAAATCAGTTTTAGGAACAGGGTTGATTTTTAAAAATATGTACAATAGATTCTCATTTTTCATGGATTCCACATTTGTGAATTTGCCTACTTGCTAAAATTTGTTTGTAACCCCAAAATCAATTCACGGTCATTTGTGGATATGTTCAGCATGGCAAAAAATTTGAGTCACCTGATATGCATGCTACCAGCTGAGGCTGAACAAGATGATGCTTCGTCTTCTTGTTTCAGCTCTCAATCTACAAACGACTGTCCTTTAGTAGTTTATTTAGTATTACGTTTTGTCACATTTTTGTTCTTTTTGTTGTTAATTTCAGTATTTAAAATGGCCACTAAAAGAAAGCTAGTGTTTCTAATGCATGAAAGCTGTGATGTGCCTTATGGAGAAAAAGTATGTTAGATATGCTTTATTAAGACATGAGTTACAGTGCTGTTTCCTATGAGTTCAATGTTAAGGACTCAACAACATATATTAAACAAGTTGTTTTTAAACAGAGACACATGCAAAACAAAGTTATACATTGTCTGGTTCACAAAAATGTTGTGAACAAAGGCTTGGAGGAATCGCACCCTATATTTTCCCTAGGAGTAATGGTTCAGTATTTATTTCAGTGTTTGTAGCAGCTTCACAGAACATAACTACCGTGAATAATAAAAATTGTATACATGAACAGGAATCCATATGAATTATATTGCTTTGCATTCCTCAACAAAGCTTATCTGGGACAAAATAGATCAACACATGAAACCTTTAATATATATAAATGTACTCATCTTTGTTTGATCATAGATTTCACTGTCATTAATTGTTGTTTCATTATTTGTCAAAGGATCTTCCAGATGTTCTCAATTCTTAGCTCTAGGTATTCCTATAATTTTAAGAGAGAACATCTACCAAAACAAAACCAAGTAGAAGGCTGGGTAAGGTCTGAGACATGGTTTGTCTAGAGTAGTGTGTCCAAAATTCAGAAAGTTAAGGAAGACAAATACAGAGGTGTTTTGATTTGCTGGTTGTTTTTTATTTTCTAAGAATTAGTATATAGTTAATAAAAAATGCTGTCTAGTAGATGTCCTATATGAATGCCATTTAAATTACTTGTATAAATAATGACTTAAAACTGCTTATTCTCTTTATAAGTTTAAAATTTCTCAAAGTTTCACCTATATAATTAGGAAATTTTTTTAATAACGTGAAGTTAAATTTCAGTCATAAAGCTAAATTACAGGTCAATTTTTATTTGAACAATAAACTAAATTCTTTTGATGAGTAACAATTCACAAATGTGAATAACCTTAAAAGTTTAAGAACCGTACTGAAAGTACATTTAATTTTTAGTGCTTGGTGTGCAGACTATTTTCATTTTGATAATTTTTCAAATTCATAATGACTCTCAAAATTAAATGAGTTCTTAGAGTTCAATGACATGCCCAAATTCAGTCTTTTACATTTAGGTAGAATATTCACATAGGTTTTCCAGAGATATACTGTATTCTAAAACAACTATACAAACGCTTATTGCTGTTTCTCTAGTCATTCTTGTACCATACCAGTGTTTTTTAACTTTTTTTTTCATTATTCTCCTCATCCCAGATTTAGATGTTAAAAAAAAAAAAAAAGAAACTGATCAACTGTTTCATATCCCCCCCACCTAAATTTTATACCACAGATATAGTGTATATATCTTTTTATGTACTGTTTTTCTTTGGAGGGCCATAATCCATTGTAATAGCTACTCTTTTTCACTCCCCCATCCCCAAGAACCAATTTTTGTACCCTTGCAGGTGCCCTTGCTGAAATGCATTTATCACACTTACCTTAAAGGCTCTTGGGGTGACGTAGCTAAACTTTCCAGACCACATTTGCTTGATCAATTCAGCATAAGATTTAGCTATTTCACCTCTCATTCCTAAGGGATTGTCAAAATTCAGTTCTTCTTGATACTTATCATTGAGGAAATACTCAGTAAGTGGAGGTGTGTTGCTCAAACACTGCAAAGAATAAAATATATTTTCAAGTAAAAGTAACCATACTGCATTTTTCTTAAAACATGTTAAAATGAAGAGAGAAATTGATTTGCAATAACACATAGAGAACAATTTATATGATGGTTTCTTGCACTAATAACTGGTCAAATAAACACTCAAATGATGCACTCAACTATTCATTTCCCAAATTTCAAAATAATTACTTATAATAAATGAAAATGCTAATATCTGCTGCTGAAAATCTGCATTAATTTTAACCACAGCAAACTACCTGGTAACTGGGAGAGAAGCTCAGTTTTCTTTCCTTCTTTTACTTGATTGGTAGAAATTATGGATTGTCTACTCATCCCAGGCACCTGCAAATTAGCCTGAGTAGGTAAAAACTGAGATAGAGTGCAAGCAAGAAATTAACTTAATAGAGGTATTTACTGCTTCCATTGTCAATTATTTAGCATGAACGAGCAGCCTTTAAACCTTCTTTGGTCAACCATTTTTAGAAGAGACAGTACAGATTACTTGAACCTGAGAAAAGTATACGAACTCTGGCTAAGTGTGTTCTCACTTCCAGCTTTTCTTTAATGTCATAAATGATGCTATTTTCCTTTATGGCAAAATAAAAACTAAAAATAAGTCAATTTTTCAATTCTTTCCAATTCTGAATTAAATAATGTCATATTTAAAATAAAATAGGTGGCAGAAGTACAATTTTTCCATAATATCTTATCTCAAGTTGGAATAATTTTAAGGTGATGATCCATACAAGTTGACCTGAATATAAACCCAGTATTACATTATCAATTAGATGTCTAGAATATGCAATGACTAACACAGACATATGGTCACATGGGTTAATTTTGTTGTTGTTGTAGCAAGATATTTTTGTTGGAATTAACTGGCAAAGTGCTGCAAGGAAGCTAATTGCTGGCATGGAAAATAGTAGTAACCCACTTCTACGAGAGCTTGGATTCACATAAATGGAATCAAAGTTTTTGAAGCTTGCTTATAGTCATTTGTATTAAGTTAGATAGGTCTGGAAGCTATGAAAGGTTCAGCCTGTTGAATTCATACAGATAAATTAGACACTATAAACTGTGACTATATACCATGCATTGTTTAGCTAAAATTCCCAAATATGCAATGTTTACTTAGTTTTAAAAAATAATTATGGTACTCAATTTTGTGGTTTCAATTATAAAACAACATGTTTACTGAAGTAGTCAATAATATCTATTTAGAAACTTTCTATATAATACAAATAGTATTATATATTATAAATTGCTAGTCTGGTCCCTACCTCAAGGCAAAAATTCCATGATATATATCATGGAATTTGTGATTGTATTATTCTTAGGCAATGAAAATAATAAAAACAGCTAAAATGTTTGGAGTGAGCTATATACTATATAGGCCTTTAGAGTCATACACCTATTTTCAACAGTAGAACTTTTTATGTATGTGAGCAAGAGAAAGAGGGGTATGCTACAGTGTAGGAGGTAATTAAGAGAAAGGATGCTTCCCTAACTTTCTTCCTAATTCTTAGACCTCTCTCATAATCTCACTCCTTTTGAGTTTCAGTTTCCTTTCTTCTTTGTATTATACATCCTTTTAATTATAAACTTAGCAACAGAGGGAAGTCCAGGCAATTTAGAATACATCATTGCTACACAGAGGGTAAATGCCATCAGTTACTATCATCTGATTTAGTACAAAATAAGATCAACATTAAATAGGCAAAGGAGAGGTCAGATAACAATTTCTAACAATGATCAATTGTTTTCTACTTCTTATAATTTGATCAGCTCAGGGTTATGCTAAGAATATACATTCCATTATTGTCTGTTAATACAATTACATAAAGAACCTAATTTACAAGTATCTCAAAAGAACCAAATTGTGAAAACCTGAGTAATTCTTAAACTTTGTTATTACTTAATTATTCACATGTACTCTTATCTTGGAAAGAGCTTACAGGTATAACTGAAAATTTTTTTAGCTTTCCAATAGCATCCAGAGTGATCTCCCTAAAATGTACATCTCATCATGTTGCTTCCTTGCTATAAATCCTTTAACGGCTCTCCTGCTTACAGATTAAAAACTCAAATTCTCAGAAGGGTCTGTCTTTAGCTTATCTATGTAGCTTCATCCTTTGTCAATACCCTTTTCTTTTCAACTATTCCCGCTCTATTTAATAAGTCATTCCTCCGCAAATTCCCTCACTCTGAAAGTTTGCAACATTACTCCATCTATTGAAAATGTACTTTTTTGCCTTACTAACTTCTATTAATCCATCAAGATTCTCTGAGAAGCTTCCCTTAGATTTCCTTATAGGGTTTTCTCCTGTAAGTTTCCTTAATGCTTACTGCTTACTTTTATTACAGCACTTATTTGATAATATACTCTAACTTTTAGTTACATTTTGTCAAATGGACTGAGACCTCCATGAAAGCAGGTACCAGGGCATTCTTATTTACATCTCTAGCACCTAGCACTAACGTCAGCTGGCACTAAACATGTGCACAATAAATGTATGCTTACTAAAAATATTTTTGCCTGTATTTAGCAATGCATTTATCCTCTTTTTACTCTTTTCCTTTTTTTTTTTTTCAATAAGACAGGGTTTCACCATGTTGGTCAGGCTGGTCTTGAACTCCGACCTCAGGTGATCCACCCTCCTTGGCCTCCAAAGTACTTGGATTACAGGCGTGAGCCACCACACCCAGCCCTTTTTACTCTTTTCCTTCAGTGCTTGACATAGACAGGTCAATAAATTTTTGTTGAATGAAATACTACTAAATGGAGGAAAAATATATTTGTAAAGAATAATCTCAAAAGTATCTTCAAGCTACCTAGGTACTAAACCAAAGGAAGGGAAGTACCTCTTAAAAATTTTTCTGCCCCATTGTCTGATTTTTCATTCAATTCACTATCTGCTTTGTAAATGACCCTCTGCTTTTTTAAAAAACTCCTTGAAACAGAGACAAGCATTTATTTTCACAGTGATACATGCTAGTTTCAAACTGATTATAATTCAATGTTAACAAATAACAACAAAACATAAATCATTTTAATGATAAGTAACTTGCCTGTGCTATCTGTGAAGATATCATAACCAATATTTAAATTCAAGCTATTATTAGTCCTAAGTGGGCCCAAACAAGCATTCTATTTGTTGAACATACGTTCTAACAAGCTACACTTCCTAACAATTTGTACAAACAAATATAAATACAGAAATTCAATAGTGAATATAATTGTTTTACTAATACACAAATCATATTAGTTTAAAAACTAAGATGATGTCAGATGTTTCTTCCTCATCATAAAAGTACTATCCTTTCCACGTTCATCTTGAAAACGCCATTAGGAGTCAATATATTCTTTTTTTATTTTTTGAGATGGAGTCTCACTCTGTTACCCAGGCTGGAACACAGTGGAATGATTTTGGCTCACTGCAATCTCTGCCTCCCGAGTTCAAGTGATTCTCCTGCCTGAACCTCCCCAGTAGCTGGGATTACAGGCACCCACCACCATGCCTGGCTAATTTCTGTATTTTTTTGTAGAGACGGGGTTTGACCATGTTGGCCAGGCTGGTCTCGAACTCCTGACCTCAGGTGATCTGCTTGCCTTGGCCTCCGTAGTGCTGGGATTACAGTCGAGAGCCACTGCACCCGGCCATGAGTCAATTTGTTCTTAAAATAGTATAAAGACCAGTTAAAATATTGAAAGTTCTCATAATTTTTGGCAAATTTCAAGGCATAAATGGAAAAAAAGATCAAACAATTAAGAATATTGCCATGCCCTATGTGATGTTATATCAGTATTCAATGCCATAATTCTGGCAGGAAAAAAAAGCACCTGTTTCTTTTCTTTTTTTATTTGAGATATAGTCTCACTCTGACATCCAGGCTATAGCGCAGAGTGCAATGACGTGATCTTGACTCACTGCAACCTCCACCTCCCAGATTCAAGAAATTCTCCTGTTTCAGGCTACTGGGTAGCTGGGATTACAGGCACGTGCCACAATGCCTGGATAATTTTTGTATTTTTAGGGGAGAAGGGGTTTCATCATCTTGGCCAGGTTGGTCTCGAACTCCTGACCTCAAGTGATCTGCCTGCCTTGGCCTCCCACAGTGCTGGGATTACAGATGTAAGACATTGTGCCTGGCTGAAGCCAGTTTCTTAAAGTTCGTTATAATGTAGTTTGATTAGTAATTATTTTATGCAATTCATTGTTTAACATTTTCACATGAGGCTATCTTAGAATATGACCAGTTCTGACAATTATAAGAAAACTAGTTACGTGGACTGGCTGCAATTAAACACAATGCTTTAATGAACAAAGATAATTTTCAGTCAACAATAATTTATTGTACATTAAAAATCGATTGTTTGAAACATGAAGGAAGGATAAATGCTTGAGGTGATGGGTGCTTCATTTACCCTGATGTGATTATTATACGTTGAATTCCTTTATCAAAATATCTCACGTATCCCCTAAATGTATACACCTACTATGTACCTATAAAAACTAAAAACACATACAATTAAAAATATGTAATTTTTATTCGTTCAGTAAGGAAAGTAATAGAGTTCTGAAGTATCCATCTCAAAGATTCTTCTACTATAAAAAAATCACTTTCCCATCAGATGGGACTATGGCAAAACAACTCTTTTCTTAAAGACGTACATGCTTTAAAAGTCTTCCATATGTAAGTAGCAGTAGAAAACTTCCCTTTTATCCTGTAAGATACTTTACTGAGTGTATTATAATATGGACTAAAATCATAAGTGTGTTGTGCCTATGTGAATCTCTTACTCTCAATGCTTCCTAGACTGTTAAACAGAAGAAAACATCCTGCAACAGCCATGGTTGTTCTTAGTAAAAACTGAGAATACATATGAATGTATCATGAAAAACAAGAGACTATATATATCAACAGTATTAGTATGTTATTTTTGTGGCTACTTATAAGTTTTGTGACATGTCTACCAGTCTCATGACA